CAGCTCAGACAGAAGACCATACGCTCCACCTGAGAGAGAACAGGTAATAAAGGACTGATCTGTCTAATGTTCCTTTTAAACTCTATAGTCAACAGTTGATTGAGTTTATTGTGTCAATAATTATCTGGTTGTGACACTTTATCGAGCAACCAGTTAATTGATATTTCAGTCATAAATTAATCTGCTTATTAATTATTAATTATTATTGCTGTTTACTGAGGAACTGTTGGTGTCTGTACAGAGACCCGGGTCCCTTCCAGTACTGATCCACCAGCTGCAGAAGACCTCTAAGGACCACCGACAGCTCCGAGACCCCGACACAGCGAGTACCCTGAAACACACACACACACACACAGTAACACACACAGTAACACACAATAACACACACACACACACAGTAACACACAATAACACACAGTAACACAACACACACACACACACACACACACAATAACACACATAACACACACACACACACACACACACACAGTAACACACACACACACACAAACACACACACAGTAACACACAATAACACACACAGTAACACACACACACACACACACAGTAACACACACACAGTAACAAACACACACAGTAACACACACACACACACACAGTAACACACACAGTACACACACAGTACACACACACACACACAGTAACAAACACACACAGTAACACACACACACAGTAACACACAATAACACACACAGTAACACACACACACACAGTAACAAACACACACAGTAACACACACACACAGTAACACACAATAACACACACAGTAACACACACACACATCACACACAGTAACACACACAGTAACACACACACACACACAGTAACACACACACAGTAACAACACACACACACACACACACACAGTCACACACAATAACACACACACACACACACACACACACACACACACACAGTAACACACACACACACACACACACACACACAGTAACACACACACACACACACAGTAACACACACACACAGTAACACACACACACACAGTAACACACAATAACACGCAGTAACACACACACACACACACACACACACAGTAACACACACACACACACACAATAACACACACACAGTAACACACAATAACACACACAGTAACACACACACAACAAACACACACAGTAACACACACACACAGTAACACACAAACACACACAGTAACAACACACACACACACAAACACACACGTAACACACACACACAGTAACACACAATAACACACACAGTAACACACACACACACACACACACAGTAACAACACACACACAGTAACACACACACACAGTAACACACAATAACACACACACAGTAACACATACACACACACACACACAGTAACAAACACACACAGTAACACACACACACAGTAACACACAATAACACACACAGTAACACAGTAACACACACACACACACACACACAGTAACAAACACACACAGTAACACACACACACACAGTAACAAACACACACAGTAAACACACAATAACACACACAGTAACACATACACACACAGTAACACACACACAGTAACAAACACACACACAGTAACACACACACAACACACACACAGTAACACAGTAACACACACACACACACACAGTAACACACACACACACACACACACACACACACACACACAGTAACACACACACACACACACACACACACACACACACACACACAGTAACACACACACACACACACACACACGCACACACACAACACACACACACAGTAACACACACACACACACACACACACAGTAACACACACAACACACACACAGTAACAAACACACACAGTAACACACAATAACACACACAGTAACACACAATAACACACACAGTAACACACACACACACACAGTAACAAACACACACAGTAACACACACACACAGTAACACACAACACACACAGTAACACATACACACACAGTAACACACAATAACACACACAGTAACACATACACACACAGTAACACACACACAGTAACAAACACACACACAGTAACACACACACACACACACACACACACACACACACACACACACACACACACACACACACACAGTAACACACACAGTAACACACACACACAAACACACACACACACACAGACACAGCACACACACACACACACACACACACAGTAACAAACACACACAGTAACACACACACACAAACACACACACACACACAGACACAGTAACACACACACACACACACACAACAAACACACACAGTAACACACACACAGTAACAAACACACACACACACAGTAACAAACACACACAGTAACACACACACACAGTAACACACAATAACACACACAGTAACACATACACACACAGTAACAACACACACACAGTAACACACACACACACACACACACACACACACAGTAACACACACACAGTAACACGCAGTAACACACACACACACAGTAACACACACACACACACACACACAGTACACACACACACACACACACACACATACACACGCACACACACACACACACACACAGTAACACACACACAGTAACACACACAGTAACACACACACACAAACACACACACACACACACACACACAGACACAGTACACACACACACACACACACACACACAGTAACACACACACACACACACACACAGTAACAAACACACACAGTAACACACAGTAACACACACACACACACACACACACACACACACACACACACACACACACACACACACACACACACACACACACACACACACACACACACACACACACACACACACACGCGCACACACACACACACACACTGACCTGCAGGGACCCAGACCACCTGTCAGACCAGTTGTGGCCCCGCCCACCTCCAGTGAGCTGGAGCGCCACTTCCTGTGAGCGGTGAGTGGCACTGAGCTCTACAGAGCGGTTGGTTGCCGTAGCGACGCTGCCTCCTGCTGGTGAGTCTGTGAACAACCTTCAGATCAGAAACTGCAGCAGTTTGAGCTCCAATAATAACAATAATAATAAAAATAACAATAACAATAATAACAACAACAATAATAAGAAAACTAACAACAGTAATAACAATTAAAGCTGCAAGCAGCATTGGGCGGGACCTCGCACTCCACACAACTCGGGCGTGCTGCGGCCACATCTCGTTACACGTGGGGACCACAACATGAAATTTCACGTAAATCAGCTCAAAATCGCCATGCAGCGCTTACTTCCTGTTGCCAGTAGGTGGCGCTATCACTATGTGTGAATGCTGTCATGTAGACGTGTTCAAGGCGAGAGTGTTATCAAACACGTGAAGTTTCATTGAGATTGGACCACGTACGCTGAAGTTATGAGGACGTGTTCAGGGCGAGAGTGTTTCAGAATATATGAAGTTTATCGGAGATTGGAGATTGCACACTGAAGTTATGAGTGCTGTTTTATGGCGAATCTGCTGAAATGGACAAGTTGTCACTGGTACGCGGTTCAATGTACAGTCACAGCTCAACTTTTCAATCAGTTTGTATGACCACAGAATTCAAAATGGCCAGCTTTGACGGCACGCCACGGACACACCTTTCGACGTACATGCACAAATAGCACAACTCTTAATCAGGACCATTTTTTGACTGTACTCACAAATTTTGAAGTAGATCTGATAAATTTCCTAGGAGGAGTTCGTTCAAATACAACGTGAAATGTCAGCCAAAAGTGAACATGAAAATCAAAATGGCCGACTTCCTGTGGGTTTTCGGGTATGGGTCCCAGAGGCTTTTTTGTACGTCCCGGCATGTTACACGTGCCTACAGAGTTTCGTACATATCGGTGAAACGTGGCGCCGGGGCTGCTGTTTTTTTTATCCTGTAGGGGGCGCTACAAACACGACAAACACGATTTTTGGTATGTGAGCTTCAGGCACCACTCTACACGTACCCTGTGAATTTCATATTCATAACTATTACGGTCTCCGCAAAGTGATTTATCATGCCACCAGTGGATAAACGTACAGTCACAAATAGCACAACTTTTGATCAGCAATGTTTTTTAACTGTACTGACCAATTTTGACGTTAATCCGATAAATTCCCTAGCAGGAGTTTGTTGAACTACAACGCAAAAAAACGTTGAAAATCACTGCGAAATGGCAGAAATGACATAAATGCTTGACATACGATTCAACCTGGCGAAATTTGACAGCACGTCACAGACACGCCCTTTAACCCTTTAAGCGCAAAAGTCGCAAAATTGCGACAGGACGCGGTACTGAATCAAACAGCTGTTTTCTCCCAATAGAGTGTTATATCTCATTCATACTCCCCTCCACTAGTTGGCAGACATCCCGTACTTAGACCTTAGCTCAGAAAAATGTCATGTTTCAATGCTAAATGTTCGAGGAAGTCCCGTCCAAACTGTTGGGTGAGAAACTGGAAATAGTCTGCCACGGCGCTATTTATGCTGAAGCGGTATTGCTGGATTTAGGAGTTATTGAGACGAAATAAACGAAAATGGCAAGCAAAAAGTTGACGCTTAGGGAAGTGATGGGTCTCCTATTAGCTGATCCTGATTCTGAAGGGGAAAATCTACCTTTGGGAGATGACGGCCGGTCGTTTAGTGAGCGTGATAGTCACAGTGCATCTTTGCACCGGCGCTGCCGGGCAGAGCGGGGAAAACACACAAGCACAAACACATGACCCTTTGCCCAACATAGGTGGGATTACTACACGAACTCGTAGTATCAGTAGGGGAGCTAATGGATGTGGTAGAAGTAGCTGGGGTGGTGAGAATAGCGCTGGGACCAGCGTTAGTGTGCACTCTTTCTACCGCGCCGGTCACAGTGCGTCCATGCGATGTGTACCTGTCCATTTGTTAGGCTATGTGGTGGGGTCTCAATATTTTTCATATTGTCTCTGTACTGTGCCTTGCAATGAGAGGTTCCACACTCTACAAATACTACAAACTTTTATCTGGATAGATCAGATTAGGCCTCTGCAGCTAAAAGACGCCTACTGTTATTATTATTATCATATTATTATAATGATGATGATAATAATAATAATAATAATAATAATAATAATGAAGAAGAGAATAAAAAAGAAAAGAAAAAGTGTCCTCCAATAGGAGGGGTGGTAGTGGGTAAAAAATCATAAAAAACGCCTACTGTTTACATGAGTTAGAGCAACATACTTTGATAATGACCAATTTGGAAGCAGATCAGATGAATAATAATAACTGAAAATTCAGAGAACGTAGTGTTCTAGAGGGGTAATAGGGTACTATGAGCTCTTTAAGATATGAAGGGGCCTGACCATGAAGAGCTTTATAGGTGAGGAGGAGGATTTTAAATTCAATTGTACATTTTACAGGGAGCCAATGCAGAGAAGCTAGTACAGGAGAGATGTGATCTCTTTTTCTAGTTCCTGTCAGTACTCGTGCTGCAGCGTTCTGAATTAATTGGAGCGTTTTAATGGACTTATTGGGGCAACCTGATAATAAAGAGTTGCAGTAATCCAGCCTTGAAGTAACAAATGCATGGATTAGTTTTTCTGCATCTGTCTGTGATAGGATGTGTCTAATTTTTCTAATATTACGTAAATGAAAGAAGGCAGTCCTAGAGGTTTGCTTTATGTGGGAGTTAAATGACAAATCCTGATCAAAGATAACTTCAAGATTCCTGACAGTGGTGCTAGAGGCCAAGTTAATGCCATCTAGAGTAACTATATCTTTAGACAGTAAGTCTCTAAGGTTTTTGGGGCCAAGAACAAGAATTTCAGTTTTTTCTGAGTTTAACATCAGAAAATTGCAGGTCATCCAGGATTTTATGTCCTTAAGACATGTCTGTAATCCAGATAATTGATTAATTTCATCGGGCTTGATTGATAGATATAACTGCGTATCATCTGCATAACAGTGAAAGTTAATGGAGTGATTCTTAATAATGTTGCCTAAAGGGAGCATATATAAAGTAAATAGTATTGGTCCAAGTAAAGAACCTTGTGGAACTCCATGACTAACTGTAGTATTTATTGAAGATTCATCGTTAACATGTACAAACTGCGAGCGATCTGATAAATATGACTTAAACCAGCTTAGTGCGGTTCCTTTAATGCCAATTTGATGCTCAAGTCTCTGTAAAAGAATATTATGGTCAATGGTGTCAAATGCAGCACTAAGATCTAATAATACAAGTACAGAGACAAGTCCATTGTCAGAAGCAGTCAGAAGGTCATTATTAACTTTAACCAGAGCTGTCTCTGTGCTATGATGAACTCTAAATCCTGATTGAAAATCCTCAAATAAACTATTGTTATGTAGAAAGTCACACAACTCTTTGGGGACTACTTTCTCCAGAATCTTAGAGAGGAACGGGAGGTTAGAAATCGGTCTATAGTTGGCTAAAACCCCTGGGTCAAGAGTGGACTTTTTAAGAAGGGGGTTTAATTACAGCTACTTTAAAGGACTGTGGTACATATCCTGATAATAAAGAAAGATTAATCATATCCAGTAAAGAAGTGCCAATTAAGGGAACAACTTCTTTAAGCAGCCTAGTTGGGATCGGGTCTAATAGACAGGTTGTTGGCTTCGATGAAGAAATGATTGAAGTTAACTGATGAAGATCGATAGCAGAAAAACAGTCTAAATATATATCTAAGTTTACAGTGGCAGAAGTCCCTGAACTTGGAGAGCCACTGATAACTGTTGATGGCAGTTGGTGATTAATTTTCTCTCTAATAGTAATAATTTTATTATAGAAGAAGCTCATGAAGTCATTGCTACTTAAGTTTATGGGGATATGTGGCTCAATAGAGCTGTGACTCTATGTCAGCCTGGCTACAGTGCTGAAGAGGAACCTAGGGTTATTCTTATTTTCTTCTATAAGTGGTGAGTAATAGGCTCCTCTGGCATTACGGAGGGCCTTTCTATAAGTTTTAAGATTATTTTGCCAATTTGAGCGATATTCTGATAATTTGGAAGAGCGCCATTTCCTTTCAGATTTCCTAGCTATTTGTTTTAACTGGCGGGTTTGGTGGTTATACCAAGGTGCTAGTCTCCTATGTTTTAATAATTTCCTTTTTATAGGAGCGATAGAGTCTAATGTTGATCGTAGTGAGCCTGTAGCACTCGACAAGATTAGCAATTTCAGAGGGACTAAAGTCGTTATAGGACTCTGTTAAATTCAGACATGGCATAATGGCTTATAATCTAATAGTATGAATTCAAAAGTTATTAAATAATGGTCAGATAGGAAAGGATTATGTGGGAAGACTATTAAATGTTCAATATCAATGCCATATGATAGAACAAGGTCAAGAGTGTGATTAAAACAATGAGTTGGTTTATTTACACTCTGACAGAAGCCAATTGAGTCTATTAATGATATAAATGCATTACTAAGGCTGTCATTGTCAACATCCACATGAATATTAAAATCACCTACAATAACTACTTTATCTGATTTAAGGACTAAACTTGATAAAAACTCTGAGAATTCAGATATAAAATCAGAGTACGGTCCAGGAGCATGGTACACTATAACAAATAGAACTGGCTGCAGTGTTTTCCAGTTTGGGTGAGAAAGACTAAGAACAAGGCTTTCAAATGAATTATAATTTAGTTTAGGTTTAGGGTCCATTAAAACGCTCGAATCATATATAGCTGCTACTCCACCTCCTCGGCCTGTGCCTCGAGGAATGTGAGTATTAATATGACTGGGGGGGTGGATTCATTTAGGCTAACATACTCCTCGTGGGACAACCAGGTCTCAGTAAGACAAAGTAAATCAATATCATAATCTGATATTAATTCATTCACTAAAACAGCTTTAGAGGACAGAGACCTGATATTTAACAGCCCACATTTCATTCTCTTATTTTGTGCTACTGAGGAGATGGTTTTAATTTTTATTAGATTTTTATGTTGAACTCCTCTTGTTTTTATTTCTTTAAATAATTTAGGTGGTCGGGGGACAGACACAGTCTCTATGGGGTTTTGGGTGGGTGACTGTTCTAAAGAAAGCGCAGAGAAGTGTGTAAGACAGCAGCTCTGCTTCCTGGTCCTAACTCTGGACTGTCAGGTTTTAGAAATAAACTTCGCCATATTTCTAGATAAGAGAACCGCTCCATCCAAAGTGGGATGGATGCCGTCTCTCCTAATCAGACCAGGTTTTCCCCAAAAAGGCTTCCAGTTATCAATGAAGCCCACATCGTTTTCTGGTACTGTTGGGTCTCTGTAATTAATGTTTTAAAGAGTTCGGTCTAGACCTGCTCTATTTGAAAAGTGTCCTGAGATAACTTCTGTTATGAATTGGCGCTATACAAATAAAATTGAATTGAATTGAATTGGACACCACCTCGACAGCCAGCGGTGGAATGACGACATGCGGCTATACATGTCATCACTGGTCACATTGGGCAGGGGTCCAGAGAAAACTACGGAGTCCGACATTGTTTTAGCATAATTACACACCGACTCCACATTAATCTTAGTGACCTCCGATTGGTGTAAACGGGTGTCATTACCGCCGACGTGGATAACAGTCTTACTGTATTTACGATTATCTTTAGCCAGCAGTTTTAAATATGATTCAATGTCGCCCGCTCTAGCCCCAGGGATACATTTAACTATGGCCGCTGGCTTCACTAACTTCACGTTTCTGACTATGGAGCTGCCAATAACCAGAGTTGGTTCCTCAGCGGGTGTATCGCTGAGTGGGGAAAATGTATTAGAAACGTGAATGGGTTGGTGGTGACCTGTGGGCTTTGGTGTTTTAGTCCACCTTCGCTCAGTCACCCAGCCTCCCTGTCTTCCCGGCTGTTCGGGAACTACCGGGGGAACTACTCTGCCCTGCTCTGACAGAGCTACAGCACCAAACAGTGTACACAGAGCAGGAAGTAAACCGGAAATGAGTCTGTACGCTTACCGTAGCACGTCCAGGTCTAGTGGCAGGGTAAATCACTGTGCGGAGACCGTAATAGTTATGAATATGAAATTCACAGGGCACGTGTAGACTGGTGCCTGAAGGTCACATACCAAAAATCGTGTTTGTAGCGCCCCCTTCAGGATAAAAAAAAAAGCAGCCCCAGCGTCACGTTTCACCGATATGTACGAAACTCGGTAGGCACGTGCAACGAGCCGAGACGTACAAAAAAGCCTCTTGGACCCATACTCCAAACCCCACGGGAAGTCGGCCATTTTCATTTTCATTTTCACTTTCGGTGAACTTTTCGCATTGTATTTGAACGAACTCCTCCTAGGGAATTTATTGGATCTACTTCAAAATTTGTCAGCACAGTCAAAAAATGGTTCTGATTAAAGGCTATTTGTGCATGTAAGTTGAAGGGCGTGTCGGTGGCGTGCACTGAAATTTGGCCATTTTGAATTCTGTGCTCATTTTCTGTGATTTTTCCCGTTGTATTGGAACGAACTCCTCCTAGGGGATTTATCGGATCAACTTCAAATTTAATCAGCACAACCTAAAGACATTCATGATTAAAAGTTGTGCTATTTATGACATTCTGTCAAACGGCGTGCCCATGGCGTTGTGTTGAATTTCGACCATTCACCATAAACAGACTCAACTTCAGTGTACAATGTCCAATCTCCACTAAACTTCACATATTCTGTAACAGTCCTAGCCTGAACACATCCTCACAACTTCAGTGTACATTATCTGATCTCAACGAAACTTCACGTTTGATAAGAGTTCCGCCCTGAGCAAGTCTACATGACAATATTCAGACAAATTGGTAGCACCACCTACTGGCAACAGGAAGTAAGCGCCGCGTGGCGATTTTCAACTGATTTACGTGAGATTTTCATGTCCTGGTCCGCATGTGTTACGACCACACGCGACGCGGCCGCAGCACGCCCCGAGTTGCGTGGAGTGCGAGGTCCCGCCCAACGCTGCTTGCAGCTTTAATTTTCTGAATGGAGTTTGGTGGATCAGGGCTATGCTAACATAGCTCATAGTTAACTCTCTATTCATGTCTTTGTAGTGACTTCATAATCTAGCGGAGAGAGGAGGTAAACAAACAAACAAATAAACAAACAAACAAACAGACAAAAATTGTGCTCAAAAATAAAATCTGCAGATTAACTGTCAATAAAAGATCATAAATATAAATGATCTCTGACCTGAGGTTAAAGTCAGCAGTCTGCAGCTGTCTGACAGCAAAGGTCGGTCCTGCTCCTCCTCCTCACGCTGCCTGGAGTCCCGACTGAAGGTGACTCTCTTGCTCCTGATTGGTCTTGACCGAAGACAGGAGCGAGGAGGCAGAGCCACAGGACCGCTGTCTGCAGACCCCGCCCTCTCACTGTTTGATTGACAGGAGGAGGAGCTGATCTCACCTTCATCACTGCTCCTCATCTGGAGGAGATGCCCACTCCTGAGGAGACAACAACAATGTGAGGAGAACAGGAGGAGGAGAGGAGGAGAGTAGTTGTAGAAAGAGAGGAGGAGGTAGAGGAGGAGAAGAGGACTCTCTGTTATGTAGGTTAATGACTCAACTGACAGGAAACTCATGATCAGTAGCAGCTCTGGTCTGGATCCGGTCTGTGGTCTGGATCCGGTCTGTGGTCTGGATCCGGTCTGTAGTCTGGATCTGGTCTGTGGTCTGGATCTGGTCTGTAGTCTGGATCTGGTCTGTGGTCTGGATCCTGTCTGTGGTCTGGATCCTGTCTGTGGTCTGGATCTGGTCTGTGGTCTGGATCTTGTCTGTGGTCTGGATCTGGTCTGTAGTCTGGATCCTGTCTGTGGTCTGGATCTGGTCTGTAGTCTGGATCCTGTCTGTGGTCTGGATCTGGTCTGTAGTCTGGATCCTGTCTGTGGTCTGGATCTGGTCTGTAGTCTGGATTCTCTCTGTGGTCTGGATCCTGTCTGTGGTCTAGATCTGGTCTGTAGTCTGGATCCTGTCTGTGGTCTGGATCTGGTCTGTAGTCTGGATCCTGTCTGTGGTCTGGATCTGGTCTGTAGTCTGGATTCTCTCTGTGGTCTGGATCCTGTCTGTGGTCTAGATCTGGTCTGTAGTCTGGATCCTGTCTGTGGTCTGGATCTGGTCTGTAGTCTGGATTCTCTCTGTGGTCTGGATCCTGTCTGTGGTCTAGACTAGGGTCTGGATCTGGTCTGTAGTCTGGATCCTGTCTGTGGTCTGGATCTGGTCTGTAGTCTGGATCCTGTCTGTGGTCTGGATCTGGTCTGTAGTCTGGATCCTGTCTGTGGTCTGGATCTGGTCTGTAGTCTGGATTCTCTCTGTGGTCTGGATCTGGTCTGTGGACTCCGGCAGCGACGGTCAGGTGTGGGCTTCCTCCTGCAGGTGAGTTTGTGTTTGGTTGTCAAGGAAACAGTGTGTGTTGTTAAAGAGACACACACATACGGATGTTTGTACTGGTTTTACTGAACTTGTGAGGTCTTCGACTTTAGTCCTCACAAAGCTTTCAGACCCCAGAAGTGGAGTAAAACCAGCAGAACACATACTGAAGTTTTTGAGTTTTTGTTTCTTTGTTGTGATTATTGATTGTCAGCTGCTGATAATCATCCTTCCTGTTCAGTCACAGGTTGCTGTGTGGTACTCTTATAACTTTATATATGTAACTTTACTCTAATAACTTTATGTAACTGTACTCTAATAACTTTATGTAACTGTACTCTTATAATTTCATATATGTGTAACTGTACTCTAATAACTGTATATGTAACTGTACTCTAATAACTTTATACAATAACTTAATATGTAACTGTACTCTAATAACTTTATATATGTAACTGTACTCTAATAACTTTATACAATAACTTAATATGTAACTGTACTCTAATAACTTTATATGTGTAACTATACTCTAATAACTGTATATGTAACTGTACTCTAATAACTTTATATGTAACTGTACTCTAATAACTGTATATGTAACTGTACTCTAATAACTTTATATGTAACTGTACTCTAATAACTTTATATGTGTAACTGTACTCTAATAACTTTATATATGTAACTTTACTCTAATAACTTTATATGTGTAACTGTACTCTAATAACTTTATATATTCAATTCAATTTTCAATTCAATTCAATTTTATTTGTATAGCGCCAATTCATAACAGAAGTTATCTCAGGACACTTTTCAAATAGAGCAGGTCTAGACCGAACTCTTTAACATTAATTACAGAGACCCAACAGTACCACCATGAGCAAGCACTTGGCGACAAGGGCAAGGAAAAACTGCCTGTTAAAAGGCAGAAACCTAGGACAGATCCTCCGGCTCTAGGTGGGTGGTCGTCTGTCTCGACCAGTTGGGGGGAGAGAGAGAGAGAGAGAGAGAGAGAGAGAGAGAGAGAGAGAGCGACAGACAGACAGACAGACAGACAGGTGCACAGCAACAACAGTATTGGCAATGGCAGTCAAGCAGGACCATGGCAGGAGGCTCCACCAGGATCCATGAGAACCTGCAAGACGAGAAAGCACAAGAACTCCGGGGAAGAAGTGAAGTTAGTAACATGCATTAATGGGACATGAATGAGTGCAGAAAGAGAGAGGAAGAGAGTAGCTCAGTGCACCATGGGAAATCCCCCGATAGTCTAGGCCTATAGCAGCATAACTAAGGGATGGTTCAGGACTCACCTGATCCAGCCCTAACTATAAGCTTTATCAAAGAGGAATGTCTTAAGCCTACTCTTGAATGTGGTGAGGGTGTCTGCCTCCCGAACCACAACTGGAAGCTGGTTCCACAGGAGAGGAGCTTGGTAACTGAAGGCTCTGGCTCCTGTTCTACTTTTAGAGACTATAGGAACCACAAGTAGCCCAGCATTCAGAGAACGTAGTGTTCTAGTGGGGTAATAGGGTACTATGAGCTCTTTAAGATTTGAAGGGGCCTGACCATGAAGAGCTTTATAGGTGAGGAGGAGGATTTTAAATTCAATTGTACATTTTATAGGGAGCCAATGCAGAGAAGCTAGTACAGGAGAGATGTGATCTCTTTTTCTAGTTCCTGTCAGTACTCGTGCTGCAGCGTTCTGAATTAATTGGAGCGTTTTAATGGACTTATTGGGGCAACCTGATAATAAAGAGTTGCAGTAATCCAGCCTTGAAGTAACAAATGCATGGATTAGTTTTTCTGCATCTGTCTGTGATAGGATGTGTCTAATTTTTGTAATATTACGTAAATGAAAGAAGGCAGTCCTAGAGGTCTGCTTTATGTGGGAGTTAAATGACAAATCCTGATCAAAGATAACTCCAAGATTCCTGACAGTGGTGCTAGAGGCCAAGGTAATGCCATCTAGAGTAACTATATCTTTAGACAGTGAGTCTCTAAGGTTTTTGGGGCCAAGAACAAGAATTTCGTTTTTTTCTGAGTTTAACATCAGAAAATTGCAGCTCATCCAGGATTTTATGTCCTTAAGACATGTTTGTAATTTAGATAATTGATTAATTTCATCGGGCTTGATTGATAGATATAACTGCGTATCATCTGCATAACAGTGAAAGTTAATGGAGTGATTCCTAATAATGTTGCCTAAAGGGAGCATATATAAAGTAAATAGTATTGGTCCAAGTACAGAACCTTGTGGAACTCCATGACTAACTTTAGTATTTATGGAGGATTCATCGTTAACATGTTAATATATGTAACTTTACTCTAATAACTTTATATATGTAACTTTACGCTAATAACTTTATATGTAACTGTACTCTAATAACTTCATATGTGTAACTGTACTCTAACTTTATATATGTAACTTTACTCTAATTACTTTATATGTGTAACTGTACTCTAATAACTTCATATGTGTAACTGTACTCTAATAACTTTATATGTGTAACTGTACTCTAACTTTATATATGTAACTTTACTCTAATAACTTTATATGTGTAACTGTACTCTAACTTTATATATGTAACTTTACTCTAATAACTTTATATGTGTAACTGTACTCTAATAACTTTATATGTAACTGTACTCTAATAACTTCATATGTGTAACTGTACTCTAATAACTTTATATGTAACTGTAGTCTAATAACTTTATATGTGTAACTGTACTCTAATAACTTCATATATGTAACTTTACTCTAATAACTTTATATGTAACTGTACTCTAATAACTTTATATATGTAACTGTACTCTAATAACTTTATATATATAACTGTACTCTAATAACTTTATATAATAACTTTATATATGTAACTTTACTCTAATAACTTCATATATGTAACTGTACTCTAATAACTTTATATATATAACTGTACTCTAATAACTTCATATAATAACTTTATATGTAACTTTACTCTAATAACTTTATATGTGTAACTGTACTCTAATAACTTTATATGTAACTGTACTCTAATAACTTTATATGTGTAACTGTACTCTAATAACTTTATATATGTAACTTTACTCTAATTACTTTATATGTGTAACTGTACTCTAATAACTTTATATATATAACTGTACTCTAATAACTTTATATAATAACTTTATATATGTAACTGTACTCTAATAACTTTATATAATAACTTTATATGTAACTTTACTCTAATTACTTTATATGTGTAACTGTACTCTAATAACTTTATATGTGTAACTTTATATAATAACTTCATATATGTAACTTTACTCTAATAACTTTATATATGTAACTTTACTCTAATAACTTTATATATGTAACTTTACTCTATTAACTTTATATATATGTAAGACAATCAGAGAATCCGACCAACAGCTGATAGAAAAAGTTTTTTATTATACGATCCGCTGACTGCGATGACATCACAGAACAGGAAATGGAAGACAAACTGAAGCATTAAAGAGAGGTCAAAGGTCACTGCAGTGTTTTCAGTTATTGATCCAGTATTGATCAGAGCGTCTGTTTTTACACACATGAACCGTTCTGACACAAAAATTTGTTTTGTTCTAAAAAACGTTCAAAGCTGAAAAAAACATCCAGTTCCTCTTTTAATCGGAGCCTTCATCTGTTTTTATTCACTTAAATGTCCTGATGAAAACAAACCAACAGATGAGTCACTCTCACTGTAGTTTTCTGTTTCACTTCTGTATTTATAATATACAATGTGTATAATATACAGTAGATATAAACAGAAAACCTCTAAAGAAAGTTTTATGTGTAAAAAATGAGAAAGAAAAATCTGAACAATTCTGAGATTGAAGTAAAAAAATTATATTTTTCTCAAAAATGTTCCTTTTAATATCTGCATGCAGCTCTGATCGGTTCTGTGGATCAATACATGTGAGATATCAACAAGTTCAGTAACAAAACCAATAATAATAAGCATAATAAATGTATTTTTGCATAGCGCTTTTAGCAAAGTTACAAAGTGCTGACAAACAGAAACAAACTTCATTCAAAAACACGTTTTAACACAAACTTACAGAAAGCCGTGAAATGATAAAAAAACTGTTCAAAACCACAGAAACAAAGATTATCAGTTTTAATCTTCACACATGAATGATTATCAGTTATTGATGATTGATTATTGATATTTCAAATAAAAGTTTCTTCTGATTGAACAAACTTTCACTTTTTACTTCCTGATTTTTCGTTTATGACACAGGAAGTGATGTCATGTGTTGAAAATGAATAATCATTAATTTGATTAATCCTTCACCATTTGGAGGACATTCTAAATAGTTAAACATACAAACAGCTGTGAGGTCATATTGATCGTCAGATATTGATCATCAGTCAGAATACGATTAAATAATAAAAATTGATCAGGTAGATTTGTTTGAAAGGGTGAAATTGATCTTTTTCTGCTCAAAGTTCAGATGGTTGAAGCACCTTTTAATCAGAAGAACAAACAGAACATAAAGTGCAGCTGGAAGAGAGATCAATATCGAATATTAATCAATAATCAATAATAATACTGTGGCAGTGAGTCTGTAAACAAAACGTTGTGTCAGAACAACAACACTGTAAAAATCAAGTTCGTCTGAGTCAAACACAAACCAAACAATTATAAAATATTGATCGTGTCTCTGAACCGAGGCGGTCATATTGAATATTATATTAATTTAAATGATGCATTGATAAACTCAAAACAAATAGTATATAGTTATAATTATTATATTTCTTTATTCTGTCCCAAACATAAAGCAATTTAAAATCAATCCTTTTAATTTCAAAATTTAATTACAAATTAATTTAAAGGTATGAAACGTAAATAAAATCATTCATTTATTTAACTTTGAGTTTATAAATGTATCATTTACATTGTACCAATTAATTAACACTTATTCTAATTTATCTATAATTATTCCAGTGGCTCAAATACAAAAGCAGAATATGAATAAAAATCTTAAAAGACTGAAATATTTCAGAATTATACAAAAATAAGAATTCAAACAACAGTTTGATAAAAAATCCTCTGAAATGTTAAAAATAAAAACGTTAAAGAGCATCGAGTGGTTTCAAAGAAAGATTGAATACAAAAATATAGAAAAGCATCAATAACTTCATCAATAACTTCATTAACGACAAACAGAAGCTGATTATCTGCAGCTCATCACTTCATTTTTCAGAAACACGAGGAGACATTGAATGCCTCACAGATTTTATTATTATTATTATATAAACTTTTAAGTTCAGTTTCCTCAGTTTTACACTTACTGACAGTAACACAGGTATGTGTGTGTATAAATATAACTATATATATATAATATATTTATATCTTTGTTATATATATTAATTTAAATATATATATATCTGTATATTCTGAAGCTAAAATCAGCTGATTGGTCCTAAATAAAAACCACAGAAGAAGAAGAGTGAATAAATAAAACGAGACGTTTGAGTTTCATCAGACACAAACATGGAGGTCGAAGCAGCAGATCAATACCAACATTGATTATCAGAGAGCCTCTGTGGCCGATATTAGTACATTTTATATATTTATAACATATTTGTTTCTTTTAAAGGAGGCACCAACAGAATCATTCATTATTGAATATTGATATGAAACAATATTTCGTAGCAGGAGACACATTGAAGACGAGACGGAAAAACAGAAATAACATTTTAAACGTTTTAAAAGCAATTGATTATTTTAAGACAATAAATGAGTTATTAATGGACACTAAATATTTAATTTTCTTTATTTGAATATAATGATAATGAGAGCTGCAACAATCAGTCAATTCATTGATTAGTAGTTAAATATTAAATCAATCTCCAACTGTTATTTTAATTTGAATTCTTTTAATAAAAATGCCTAAATTCTCTGATTTCAGATTCTCAGGAGAAGATGACTGACAGATTAATCAATAATGAAAACAATTGATAATTGGAGCTCTGCTGTTAATTGATTCACACAAACGATTAAATGGTAATAATGTGAAATGTTTTCCACATTCACTTTTTGGACTAAGAGTCAGTTTTAAAAACATTAAAACATTTCAATTAAAATATGAAAAACACGTTAGACATCATCAGGACTCTGTATCAGCGCTGCTCTTCATCATCATCATCGTCATCATCGTCATCATCATCATCATCATCGTCGCTTTCTTTCTTAGAAAAACGTTTCATCACGCTGCCGAAACTCCTGCTGAGCTGACGGCAGCCAGAGTTAACAGGGAGGAGGAGGAGGAGTAGAAAGAGGAGGAGGAAGAGGAGGAAGAGGAGGGGGAGGAGGAGGAGGAGGAGGAGGAAGAGGAGGAGGAAGAGGAGGAAGAGGAGGGAGGAGAAGGAGGAGGAGGAGGAGGAGGAGGAGGAGGAGGAAGAGGAGGAGGAGGAAGAGGAGGCGTGCAGGAAGATTTGAGATGACTGACAAGCAGAGAAACTTTCCTGAAGACGTGTTTCCACAGGTTTGATCCTCCTCCTGCGGCGAGAGGAAGAGGAGGAGGAGGAGGAAGAGGAGGCTCCGCCTACAGCAGCATACACCTGAAGAAGCTCTTTTTAGAGCGAGACTCTGTGATTTTAACGGGCCCGCCTCCTCCTGGCGGGTTGCTGTCGTTCTGCAGGAAACAAACAACACAAAGAGGTCAAAGATCACAGAGACGACCTCTGGACCAATCAGCCTCAGACGGGAGATCAGATGATTGGGACTTCCTGTGATGTCACTCTGAGGTGATGATAAGGTTTTATTACTTTAAGATGATTGGACGAGAGCACCGACTGCTGGGCTGTGAATGGTGGACAAACATGTCCTGAACTCTTGTACTGATGCCTGTCAATCAAACTGTGACTTTGTGATGTCACTTCCTGTTTATCTAAATATGGTCTGTTCACACTGAAAGCTTTAATATTGTTATAGCTATTCACAATAATTCTCCCAGAATGCATTGTGAATGTTTGATTGAATGTATGACATAATGTTTTAAAGAGTTCGGTCTAGACCTGCTCTATTTGAAAAGTGTCCTGAGATAACTTCTGTTATGAATTGGCGCTATACAAATAAAATTGAATTGAATTGAATCATTTCCTGTTGAATGTGAATGACTATCGATACTTTCATTACAGTATGTAACAGACTACTGTTACTGTAGATATAATATAATAATAAAACACCATCAAGCTAAAAGTTACAAAACTTCAATCAATCAATAACAATCAAAAACAATCAATAAACTGATCTCAGTTCAGTGTTCAATCTGGCTTTTAAAATAAAAGCAAATGTAGACTTCACAATTAAACTCACCATTTTTCTGTTCAGTCTGCTCATGATGTCTCTGCCGAGAGTGAAAAAGGCCTGTGGAGGATGTGAAGATGTCATGTGAAGATGTCATGTGAAGATGTCATGTGATGATGTCATGTGATGATGGTCTGATCCTAACTCACCTCCTCCACGTTGATGCTGGACTTTGCGCTGGTTTCTAAAAACTTGATCCCATAATCGATCGCCAGCTGAACGACCAGAGGAGACGTTTACATTCAAAACAGAACATCTGGAGACTGACTGTGACCATCTGGAGACTGACTGAACATCTGGAGACTGACTGTGACCATCTGGAGACTGACTGAACATCTGGAGACTGACTGTGAACATCTGGAGACTGACTGAACATCTTGAGACTGACTGTGAACATCTGGAGACTGACTGAACATCTTGAGACTGACTGTGAACATCTGGAGACTGACTGTGACCATCTGGAGACTGACTGAACATCTGGAGACTGACTGTAAACATCTGGAGACTGACTGAACATCTGAAGACTGACTGAATGTCTGGAGACTGACTGTAAACATCTGGAGACTGAACTTCTGGAGACTGAACGTCGGGAGACCGACTGTGAATGTCTGGAGACTGACTCTGAACATCTGGAGACTGAACGTCTGGAGACTCAACGTAAACATCTGGAGACTGAACGTCTGGAGACTGAACGTCTGGAGACTGACTTAACATCTTGAGACTGACTGTGACCATCTGGAGACTGACTGAACATCTTGAGACTGACTGTGAACATCTGGAGACTGACTGTGAACATCTGGAGACTGACTGAACATCTGGAGACTGACTGTGAACATCTGGAGACTGACTGAACATCTTGAGACTGACTGTGAACATCTGGAGACTGACTGTGACCATCTGGAGACTGACTGAACATCTGGAGACTGACTGTAAACATCTGGAGACTGACTGAACATCTGGAGACTGACTGTGAACATCTGGAGACTGACTGAACATCTGGAGACTGACTGTAAACATCTGGAGACTGACTGAACATCTGAAGACTGACTGAATGTCTGGAGACTGACTGTAAACATCTGGAGACTGAACTTCTGGAGACTGAACGTCGGGAGACCGACTGTGAATGTCTGGAGACTGACTCTGAACATCTGGAGACTGAACGTCTGGAGACTCAACGTAAACATCTGGAGACTGAACGTCTGGAGACTGACTAAACGTCTGGAGACTGACTGAAAATCTGGGAATGACTGCACATCTGGAGAATGACTGAGACTGACTGAATGTCTGGAGACTGACTGTAAACATCTGGAGACTGACTGAACATCTGGAGACTGACTGAACATCTGGAGACTGACTGAACATCTGAAGACTGACTAAACATCTGGAAACTGACTGAATGTCTTGAGACTGACTGAACATCTGAGACTGACTGCAAATCTGGAGTACTGAACATCTGAGACTGATTGAACGTCTGGAGACTGACTGAAAATCTGAGACTGACTGCACATCTGGAGAATGACTGAACATCTGAGACTGACTGAACGTCTGGAGACTGACTGTAAACATCTGGAGACTGACTGTGAACATCTGGAGACTGACTGTGAACATCTGGAAACTGACTGAACATCTGGAGACTGACTAAACATCTGGAAACTGACCGAATGTCTTGAGACTGACTGTGAACATCTGGAGACTGACTGGACGTCTGGAGACAGACTGTAAACATCTGGAGACTGACTGAACATGTGAAGACTGACTGTAAACATCTGGAGACTGAATAAACATCTGGAGACAGACTCGTACATCTGGAGACTGAGTGAACGTCTGGAGACTGACTGAACATGTGAATACTGACTGTAAACATCTGGAGACTGACTGAACATCTGGAGACAGACTGCGCACATCTGGAGACTGACTGAACGCCTGGAGACTGACTGAACATCTGGAGACTGAGTGAACGTCTGGAGACGGACTGCGCACATCTGGAGACTGACTGAACGTCTGGAGACTGACTGACCGTCTGGAGACTGACTGACCGTCTGGAGACTGACTGAATGTCTTGAGACTGACTGAACATCTGAGACTGACTGCACATCTGGAGAATGACTGAACATCTGAGACTGATTGAACGTCTGGAGACTGACTGTAAACATCTGGAGACTGACTGAACATCTGGAGACTGACTGTAAACATCTGGAGACAGACTGTGAACATCTGGAGACTGACTGCGCACATCTGGAGACTGAGTGAACGTCTGGAGACGGACTACGCACATCTGGAGACTGACTGAACGTCTGGAGACTGACTGACCGTCTGGAGACTGACTGAACATCTGGAGACTGACTGTAAACATCTGGAGACTGACTGTGAACATCTGGAGACTGACTGAACATCTGGAGACTGACTGTAAACATCTGGAGACTGACTGAACATCTGGAGACAGACTGCGCACATCTGGAGACTGACTGAACGCCTGGAGACTGAATGAATGTCTGGAGACTGACTGAACATCTGGAGACTCAGTGAACGTCTGGAGACGGACTGCGCACATCTGGAGACTGACTGAACGTCTGGAGACTGACTGACCGTCTGGAGACTGACTGAACATCTGGAGACTGACTGTAAACATCTGGAGACTGACTGTGAACATCTGGAGACTGACTGTAAACATCTGGAGACTGACTGTAAACATCTGGAGACTGACTGAACATCTGGAGACTGACTGTAAACATCTAAAGACTGACTGAACATCTGGAGACAGACTGCGCACATCTGGAGACTGACTGAACGCCTGGAGACTGAATGAACGCCTGGAGACTGACTGAATGTCTGGAGACTGACTGAACATCTGGAGACTGACTGAACGTCTGGAGACTGACTGACCGTCTGGAGACTGACTGAACATCTGGAGACTGACTGTGAACATCTGGAGACTGACTGTGAACATCTGGAGACTGACTGAACATCTGGAGACTGACTGAACGTCTGGAGACCAACTGAACATCTGAAGACTGACTAAACATCTGGAGACTGACTGAATGTCTTGAGACTGACTGAACATCTGAGACTGACTGCACATCTGGAGAATGACTGAACATCTGAGACTGATTGAACGTCTGGAGACTGACTGTAAACATCTGGAGACTGACTAAACATCTGGAGACTGACTGAACATCTGGAGACTGACTGAACATCTGGAGACTGACTGAACATCTGAAGACTGACTAAACATCTGGAGACTGACTGAACATCTGAGACTGACTGTGAACATCTGGAGACTGACTGAACGTCTGGAGACTGACTGTAAACATCTAGAGACTGACTGAACATGTGAAGACTGACTGTAAACATCTGGAGACTGACTGAACATGTGAAGACTGACTGTAAACATCTGGAGACTGAATGAACACCTGGAGACAGACGGCGCACATCTGGAGACTGACTGAATTTCTGGAGACTGACTGTAAACATCTAGAGACTGACTGAACATGTGAAGACTGACTGTAAACATCTGGAGACTGACTGAACATGTGAAGACTGACTGTAAACATCTGGAGACTGAATGAACACCTGGAGACAGACTGCGCACATCTGGAGACTGACTGAATTTCTGGAGACTGAGTGAACCTCTGGAGACTGACTGAACCTCTGGAGACTGACTGTAAACATCTGGAGACTGACTGAACGTATGGAGAGTGACTGTAAACATCTGGGGACTGACTGATATTCTGGAGACTGACGTGAACATCTGGAGACTGACTGAACATCTGGAGACTGACTGTAAACATCTGGGGACTGACTGTGGACATCTGGAGACTGACTGTGGACATCTGGAGACTGACTGAACATCTGAAGACTGACTGAACGCCTGGAGACTGACTGTAAACATCTGGGGACTGACTGTGGACATCTGGAGACTGACTGAACATCTGAAGACTGACTGAACGCCTGGAGACTGACTGTAAACATCTGGAGACTGACTGATATTCTGGAGACTGAGAACATCTGGAGACTGACTGAACATCTGCAGACTGACTGAACATCTGGAGACTGACTGAACATCTGGAGACTGACTGTAAACATCTGCAGACTGACTGAACATCTGGAGACTGACTGAACATCTGGAGACTGACTGTAAACATCTGCAGACTGACTGAACATCTGGAGACTGACTGAACATCTGGAGACTGACTGAACATCTGCAGACTGACTGAACATCTGGAGACTGACTGAACATCTGGAGACTGACTGTAAACATCTGCAGACTGACTGAACATCTGGAGACTGACTGAACATCTGGAGACTGACTGTAAACATCTGCAGACTGACTGAACATCTGGAGACTGACTGAACATCTGGAGACTGACTGAACATCTGCAGACTGACTGAACATCTGGAGACTGACTGTAAACATCTGGAGACTTAAATTAATTAAATCTTAGTTGAATTTGTAACATGTCAATAATAAGTAATTAATATGTTATTAATAAGTAAGTAATATGTAATTAATAAGTAATTATATGAAATTTATATGTATTTAATATGTAATTAATAAGTCATTAATATGTCATTGATAAGTCATATTTTAATGACATTGTGAGAAACTGAAAATGGTCAAATAAAGGTCAACATTTGGTGAATTAAACAATAAATAATAAATAATAAACTTCCCACTGATGTAGAAAAAATGTATTTTAGTCACTGATGTGCTTTAAAGTGTTTTGTTCAATGTGCTGTATAAATTTTTTGTGTCGGACCTTCTCTCCTCGCTCTTTGGACACTTGTCTCTTGTCGTTCATGTCACATTTGTTCCCCAGAACCATTCTCTCCACGTCTGAGGACGCGTGCTTGAAACACATTGAAAATCAATGAAAATCAATCAGTCAATCAATATCATCATATTATGTCATCACAAGCACTAACCCTAATATTTAATTGTTTCTGTTTGATATCTGAAAGCTCTGTTAGTCTCACTGGGTGGCAGCACTGACAGTGAGCTGATCAATAAATATCTACTATCAGCAGGGCCGGCTCTAGGCATAGGCAATATAGGCGATCGCCTAGAGTGCCATCTGCTGGAGGGGCGCCGGCAGTCACCCTCGAGGGAGAAACAAAATAAAAAATAATAATAATTTTCGATGCCCACTGGTGCCCTCCCTTCGTGTTCTGTCTTGAAAATACAAAGTAAAGAAACAGATAAACAATGACATGTTTCTCACTTATGGTGCTGAGTCATTTGACGTGTGGTCATTGGCTGCGCACCTCAGAGGGTAAGACAGGTGTCACAGAGGTCACGTCAAGTGACAGACAGGTTATGTTTTGATATATCTTGCGAGATGAAACGGCCGTCAAAGCCCTTGGGTGCGCAGTATCGAAAGAGAAGAAAAGAGGAGGAGGAGGAGGAGAAGTATATAAATATAAAGGTAACATTATGTCATCTTTTTTTAAATGCCATCTTGTGTGAAGACGTTTCATTTGTATTAGCTTGCTAGCTAGGTTGAAATAAAGCAACGCTAGCTTAACACTAGAACGGCCAAGACGGTCATTTTGACTGTTTTCAAATTTATATGTATATATATATAACTTTGTTGAATGAAAAAATGCAATACTACTGTTACCTGACTTTTCCTAAAAGTGTCTGTATTTTAATTTAGAATAGTTTTTATATAAATTACACAAAAGACAAAGAAAATATGATATGTTTTACCTATTTCGGCCATAAGTGGTCATATTGACCGCACATCATTTTTTTTTTTTTTGGGGGGGGGGTAATCTCGCCTAGGGCACCAAATGGGCTAGAGCCGGCCCTGACTATCAGTCATATGTGATGTCAGAGGGGGCGTGGTCTACCTCCTCAATGTTGCGGATCCAGTTCCTGATGTTATCGAAGGACTTCTCGTTGGTGATGTCATACACCAGCATGATGCCCTGCAGCACAAAAGACAGGAAGTGAGTGCAGAGGAAGTGACATAGGCAGTGACATCAGCACAGGAAGTGGCACACACACACACACACACACACACACACACACACACACACACAGGTCCACATTAGACCATGGATCCCCAGTCTAAGAGAGTTTTGAATCAACTCGGTCATTTATTTATTATAAAGTCTTCATCTTCATTCAATAATCAAACTAGATCAATATAAATTACAATGAATAAAACCAGCGAACAGTTTCTTCCCTTGTTGTTCCAACTTCCAAAGTCAGTCAGTCATTGTTACAGTTTTATTATATCTGTTAGACTTCTATTGATTTATTATTGATGTATCTGTATCTAGCTTACTTTCACTGGATGATTGATTGATCTGATCCTCCAACAATGAACCTGATCAGAATCAATCTGACAGTCTCAGAGAAACCAAAGAAAGGAAGGAAACAGAGGAAGAGGAGCCAGTTTGTAGCTAGTTAATCAGTCAGTAACTGTTAACGTCATCCATCATCCATCGTATCGATCAGTCAGGATTAGTTTCAGTGAAGTTGGAAGTTATTGAACATACAGACTGTGTGATGTTACACTGTGTTACTGTTTGTTCTGATTCACAATCATTACTGCTGATTAACAGGTTATAATCAATACAGTGATATCAGAAACATGATGACTAGTCGACTATTAGGAACATCTTTAGATGGATGTGACGGTCCAATAGCAGTGAGGGGGTGGGTCTTACCATGGCTCCTCTGTAATAGGCTGTGGTGATGGTCCTGAACCTCTCCTGACCCGCTGTGTCCCTTCAGGAACAGGGAGAGAGCACCAAGTGAAGCTATGATCCATACATGCTCACTGATTGATCATTGATTGATTCTTGATTGACTCACCAAATCTGAAGTTTGATCTTCTTCCCATCCAGCTCGATCGTCCTGATTTTAAAGTCAATTCCTGAAACAGAAACAAACAAACTGATCACTTTACTGCAGCGCCACCTTAAGGACAGACTGATTACTGCAGCGGCGGCTGTGGCTCAGAGGCAGAGCGGGTTGTCCCCTAATCGCAAGGTTGTCGGTTCGATCCCCGGCTCCTCCTTGAGCAAGATACTGAACCCCAATGTGCTCCTGATGCTGTGCATCGGTGTGTGAACGTGTTTGAATGAGTTAGTTTCTGTTCGATGGACTTTGCCATCACTGAGTGAATGTGTGTGAAAGGGTGAATGTGTCTGTAGTGTAAAAGTGCTTTGAGTGGTCGGAAGACTAGAAAGGAAACTATACAAGTACAGCTCCATTTACCATTTGCAGCCCCACCTTAAAGACAGACTGATTACTGCAGCCCCACCTAAAGGACAGACTGATTTTTGAGGTATAAACAGTGAAAGTGACGCAGTGACGCAGGACATCCAACACACCAGCAGAGAGCGCCCCCTGCTGTTAGAGCTCATTCAGTTTTCATCTCACTGATTTCAATCTTTATGTATCTGTCCCACGACTGCACCGTCTCCCCACATACTGTTACATACTCGCACCCGGTGTTTACCCGGAACCCTGAGGTGTGTGAGGTGCGTTTGTTTCTTAGCTGTGGAAGCTGGATGTGTCAGCTGACTCTCTGTGAGCTGTAACAGGAAGTGGAAGATATTTTTAAATGTGAGCAATCGTTGCTTCCTGCTTCCGAACAGAGAAAATCTGTTTCCAAGAAGCAGTCGGCTCTGTTTCCTCCTCTGTTTCCTGTTCTGCGCCACAACTGGGACCAGTCCTCCACCACTCCCTGATCACACTGACCCTCTCTGGTCCCGTTTCCTCAGGTTGGACCACTTCCACCTGCTGCAGTAGCCTCCAACATTTACACACAAATCTTAAAATGATTCAGTAATTTGCTGATTGTTTTCTCCATCAGCATACAGGGTACCGACTACAGCGTACAGAGTACAGCGTACAGAGTATAGTGTACAGTGTACAGAGTACAGACTACAGCGTACAGACTACAGAGTACAGACTACAGCGTACAGAGTATAGTGTACAGTGTACAGAGTACAGACTACAGACTACAGCGTACAGACTACAGCGTACAGACTACAGAGTACAGCGTACAGACTACAGCGTACAGTGTACAGACTACAGAGTACAGTGTACAGACTACAGCGTACAGACTACAGTGTACAGACTACAGACTACAGAGTAGAGACTACCGACTACAGCATACAGACTACAGAGTACAGACTACCGACTACAGCTACAGACTACAGAGTACAGACTACCGACTACAGCATACATCTCTCTCTCTCTCTCTCTCTCCCACCCACCTAGAGCCGAAGGATCTGTCCTAGGTTTCTGCCTTTTAACAGGCAGTGTTTCCTTGCCACTGTCGCCAAGTCCTTGCTCATGGTGGTACTGTTGGGTCTCTGTAAATAATGTTATAAGGAGTTCTGTCTAGACCTGCTCTATTTGAAAAGTGTCCTGAGGGTTAGGGTCTGTTATGAATTGGTGCTATACAAAATAAATTGAATTGAATTGAAATACTGCCATTATTCTGACATCATTATTATTATTGATCCATGATCAGTGAGAGTAATACTGTTATATCACTAATTCAATATTCACATTATTAGGATGCATCAAACATCTGATTATTTCATTTCATCACTTTTTAGTTTTCTATTGAATAGCTATGATTGCAGCTCTACACTGACCAGTATACAGATCAATACCACTGCTTGTTACTTATTGATCAGGCTCATTGGTATTTGTATTGATTAGCAGCAGTTAGTGAGGGTCAGCTGTAACGATCAGACACTGTCAGAGGTCAGCTGACTCTCACGGGAGCGCCGGCAGCGTGTTGACAGAGCGTCCTCTGTCCGACCACAGTAGCAAAGGATTGTGGGAGCTCACTCAACATTCACCCAGTTCTTCCAGCAGCTCAACTGGGAGGAAACCATCACACACTGGAAGAGCTACTTTCTCATCACATCAGTTCATATCACAGTATATGTTAGACCATCACTGCAGACTGATTCTCCACAGCTAACAAAGCTAACGGGCTGAGATACAGTGAACAAAGATGGATGAATTTATAGTCAATAACTCTGTTAAAAAACATCTCTGTTGTTGACACAACAACAACAACAACAACAACAGTTCTGACATTCATTAATTTAGTGTTTCTAGTAAAGTTCGACCTTGTCTTCCATGGAACATAAAGTCTACCAGGTCCAACCCTCAACCGGTTCTTTAAACCAGGGTCCAACACTCTGGTCCCCATAAACACAGGAAACAAACCCACACACACACACACACACACAGAAGAAGACTGTTACCACTTCCTGTTTGAACCAGGAAGTCAGAAGAGGGAAACACTCTGCTCAGCTCGCTGTGACGCACCGGAAACACAGAGAGAGTTCCCTCGATTAATTACATATAATGTAATTACACACATTATATATGAATAATACAACATTATATTACTGACACACTTCAATACAAATGGAAGGCTGATTGGTTTTTAATGTTAATTTCTTGTTTTTATTAATTCTGTTTTTTCTCTTCACTTTAATTTCATTGTATTGGACAGAATTCATATTGGCAGAATTATAACAGTAGTATAGCAGTGTTATAGCAGTGTTATAGCAGTAGTATAGCAGTGTTATAGCAGTAGTATAGCAGTAGTATAGCAGTGTTATAACAGTATTATAGCAGTAGTATAGCAGTAGTATAGTAGTATTATAACAGTATTATAGCAGTAGTATAACAGTAGTATAACAGTAGTACAGCAGTGTTACAGTAGTATTATAGCAGTATTATAGCAGTGTTATAGCAGTACTATAGCAGTATTATAGCAGTATTATAGCAGTAGTATAACAGTAGTATAACAGTAGTACAGCAGTGTTATAGCAGTACTATAGCAGTATTATAGCAGTGTTATAACAGTAGTATAGCAGTATTATAGCAGTGTTATAACAGTAGTATAGTAGTATTACAGCAGTAGTATAACAGTATTATAGCAGTGTTATAGCAGTATTATAGCAGTATTATAGCAGTAGTATAACAGTAGTACAGCAGTGTTACAGTAGTATTATAGCAGTGTTATAGCAGTATTATAGCAGTGTTATAACAGTAGTATAGCAGTAGTATAGCAGTGTTATAGCAGTGTTATAGCAGTATTATAGCAGTGTTATAACAGTAGTATAGCAGTATTATAGCAGTATTATAGCAGTGTTATAACAGTAGTATAGCAGTGTTATAACAGTAGTATAGCAGTAGTATAGCAGTGTTATAGTAGTATAATAGCAGTATTATAACAGTATTATAGCAGTGTTATAGCAGTAGTATAACAGTAGTATAACAGTAGTACAGCAGTGTTACAGTAGTATTATAGCAGTGTTATAGCAGTATTATAGCAGTGTTATAACAGTAGTATAGCAGTGTTATAACAGCAGTATAGTAGTATTATAGCAGTGTTATAACAGTATTATGACAGTAGTATAGCAGTATTATAGCGGTAGTATAGCAGTGTTATAGCAGTATTATAGCAGTGTTATAACAGTAGTATAGCAGTGTTATAACAGCAGTATAGTAGTATTATAGCAGTGTTATAGTAGTATTATAGCAGTGTTATAGCAGTATTATAGCAGTAGTATAGTAGTATTATAGCAGTGTTATAACAGTATTATGACAGTAGTATAGCAGTAGTATAACAGTTGTGACGGTCCCTGTCTAGTGTTGATGTGCTGATGTGGTTGACCAGTTATTGTTTTTCCTATGTGTCCTTGAAGGTACCATCAGCAGAGTACGGATTTGGAGCACCTGGTTCAGGCGCTCCTAAAAGGATAAAGACCCTGTCTCAACTCTGTTCTGGTCTCTCTCTCGCATTCGGCTGCATCCCTGCCAGCAGCAGCAGCACATTCTCTTTGTTTGGTTTCTGCTTTGTTTTCACTTTACAACATTTATACTTCATATTGCTCACACATCCACATTTACATTACTGATGTTACTGACTGACACACCTCACATTTGTACTTATAACCCCAGTTGTTTAAGTTACTATAATAAATTCACTCATTTCTGGCCATCTGTTGTGTCCTGTGCCGTATTTGTCATAGCCTAGGAGCTGGGTTATGACATGACATTATATATGACATTATAGCAGTAGTATAGCAGTGTTATAGCAGTATTATAACAGTGTTATAGCAGTGTTATAGCAGTAGTATAACAGTATTATAGCAGTGTTATAGCAGTAGTATAACAGTATTATAGCAGTATTATAGCAGTGTTATAGCAGTAGTATAGCAGTATTATAGCAGTGTTATAGCAGTAGTATAGCAGTGTTATAGCAGTTATATAACAGTATTATAGCAGTATTATAGCAGTGTTATAGCAGTAGTATAGCAGTGTTATAGCAGTATTATAACAGTGTTATAGCAGTGTTATAGCAGTAGTATAACAGTATTATAGCAGTATTATAACAGTGTTATAGCAGTGTTATAGCAGTATTATAACAGTATTATAGCAGTATTATAGCAGTAGTATAGCAGTGTTATAACAGTAGTATAGCAGTAGTATAGCAGTAGTATAGCAGTATTATAGCAGTGTTATAACAGTATTATAGCAGTGTTATAGCAGTGTTATAGCAGTAGTATAGCAGTGTTATAGCAGTTATATAACAGTAGTATAGCAGTAGTATAGCAGTGGTATAGCAGTATTATAGCAGTAGTATAGCAGTATTATAGTAGTGTTATAGCAGTATTATAGCAGTATTATAGCAGTAGTATAACAGTGTTATAACAGTATTATAACAGTAGTATAGCAGTATTATAACAGTAGTATAGCAGTATTATAACAGTAGTATAACAGTGTTATAACAGTATTATAACAGTGTTATAGCAGTATTATAGCAGTAGTATAACAGTATTATAGCAGTAGTATAGCAGTATTATAGCAGTATTATAGCAGTAGTATAACAGTATTATAGCAGTATTATAGCAGTGTTATAACAGTATTAAAGCAGTAGTATAACAGTATTATAGCAGTATTATAGCAGTGTTATAGCAGTGTTATAACAGTATTAAAGCAGTAGTACAACAGTATTATAACAGTATTATAACAGTAGTATAACAGTATTATAGTAGTGTTATAGCAGTATTATAGCAGTATTATAGCAGTAGTATAACAGTGTTATAACAGTATTATAACAGTAGTATAGCAGTATTATAACAGTAGTATAACAGTGTTATAACAGTAGTATAACAGTAGTATAGCAGTATTATAGCAGTATTATAGCAGTAGTATAACAGTATTATAGCAGTATTATAGCAGTAGTATAGCAGTGTTATAACAGTATTATAGTATTATTATAGCAGTATTATAGCAGTAGTATAGCAGTATTATAACAGTATTATAGCAGTGTTATAACAGTATTATAGTATTGTTATAGCAGTATTATAGCAGTGTTATAACAGTATTATAGTATTATAACAGTATTATAACAGTATTATAACAGTGTTATAACAGTGTTATAACAGTGTTATAGCTGTATTATAACAGTATTATAACAGTATTATAACAGTATTATAGCAGTAATATAACAGCATTATAACAGTATTATAACAGTAGTATAACAGTGTTATAGCAGTATTATAGCGGTATTATAACAGTAGTATAGCAGTGTTATAACAGTATTATAACAGTATTATAGCAGTAATATAACAGCATTATAACAGCATTATAACAGTATTATAACAGTAGTATAACAGTATTATAGCAGTAGTATAACAGTGTTATAGCAGTATTATAGCGGTATTATAACAGTATTATAGCAGTATTATAACAGTATTATAACAGTGTTATAGCAGTAGTATAACAGTATTATAGCAGTATTATAACAGTGTTATAGCAGTGTTATAGCAGTATTATAACAGTATTATAGCAGTATTATAGCAGTAGTATAGCAGTGTTATAACAGTAGTATAGCAGTAGTATAGCAGTAGTATAGCAGTATTATAGCAGTGTTATAACAGTATTATAGCAGTGTTATAGCAGTGTTATAGCAGTAGTATAGCAGTGTTATAGCAGTTATATAACAGTAGTATAGCAGTAGTATAGCAGTGGTATAGCAGTATTATAGCAGTAGTATAGCAGTATTATAGTAGTGTTATAGCAGTATTATAGCAGTATTATAGCAGTAGTATAACAGTGTTATAACAGTATTATAACAGTAGTATAGCAGTATTATAACAGTAGTATAGCAGTATTATAACAGTAGTATAACAGTGTTATAACAGTATTATAACAGTGTTATAGCAGTATTATAGCAGTATTATAGCAGTAGTATAACAGTATTATAGCAGTATTATAGCAGTGTTATAACAGTATTAAAGCAGTAGTATAACAGTATTATAGCAGTATTATAGCAGTGTTATAGCAGTGTTATAACAGTATTAAAGCAGTAGTACAACAGTATTATAACAGTATTATAACAGTAGTATAACAGTATTATAGCAGTGTTATAGCAGTATTATAGCAGTATTATAGCAGTAGTATAACAGTGTTATAACAGTATTATAACAGTAGTATAGCAGTATTATAACAGTAGTATAACAGTGTTATAACAGTAGTATAACAGTAGTATAGCAGTATTATAGCAGTATTATAGCAGTAGTATAACAGTATTATAGCAGTATTATAGCAGTAGTATAGCAGTGTTATAACAGTATTATAGTATTATAACAGTAGTATAACAGTATTATAGCAGTATTATAGCAGTAGTATAGCAGTATTATAACAGTATTATAGCAGTGTTATAACAGTATTATAGTATTGTTATAGCAGTATTATAGCAGTGTTATAACAGTATTATAACAGTATTATAACAGTATTATAACAGTATTATAACAGTGTTATAACAGTGTT